GGCTAGAATGTGGGGGTGAGATCATAGGTCACCGCAGTATCAAACTCCTGGGCTCAAGGGATCCTCCCACCTCAGCCTCCTGAGTAGCCGGGACTACAGGTGTGCACCACCATGCCTACTAATTCCTAAATTATTTTTATAGAGACAGCCCCCCCACCCACCATGTTCCCAGGCTAGTCTCAAACTCCCAGGCTCAAGTGATCCACCTGCCTTGGCTTCCTAAGGCCTGTGCTGGGATTACAGGCATGAGCTACTGCACCCACCCAAGCCTTTATATATTTTTTCTAAAATTATTTTTCCCCAAATGCTAAACTAGTTGAAAAATACTGAAAAATGAAGAGTGTGTTGAAATTCACAACACTATTTTACGTTTAAATCTTTCATATATACCCTAGACAGAATTTGAATAATTTTACTTTCTTGGCTTTTAATGGAGGCAAATCTATCAATAACACTTTCTGCATCTACTTCTTTGCTCTTCTTGTTTTTTATTGAGAGAATGGCCATGTTTGATTATTTCTCCTGACCAAGCAATGATCTTAAATGACTTTTTCTTTTCTTTTCTTTTCTTGAGAGTCTCTCGCTGTTGCCCAGGCCGGAGTACAGTGGCATAATGGTGGCTCACTGCAACCTCCATCTTCCAGGTTCAAGTGATTCTCCTGCCTCAGCCTCCTGAGCAGCTTGGATTACAGGTGCCCACCAGCACACCCAGCTGATTTTTGTATTTTTAGTAGAGATGGGGTTTCTCTATATTTTGGCCAAGCTGGTCTCGAACTCCTGAGCTCAAATGATCCTGCCACTTCAGCCTCCCAAAGTGCTGGGATTACAGGTGTGAGCCACCTCACTCCGCCCCATTAAAAAAAAATGTCGATGCCTGCCCAGTATGCTACAATCAAGTAATTGTCACAGCCTGCTCTTAACATGACCCAGCGCAAACAAATAAACCACCCCGCCACCTCGATCTTTTCACCCAGTTCTTCCCCTCTATTTTCAACTTAGCCTCATGGGTAACAACTGCGACCATTTACAGAAGGTTTAACTCGGCACGTCTCACCTCTAACCCAACAGAAGATGCTATCAACAGTCCCATTTCCCAGTGGGTAAACTGAGGCACAGAGCATTTGGGTAACTGGCTCTAAGCTGCACAGCTAAAGTTGGCACAGCAGGGACTGGAACCTGACTCCGTGGCTCATAAAGACGCAAGGTGGGCTGGGCGAAGTGGCTCAGATCTGTAATCCCAGCACTTGGGGAGGCTGAGGCAGCTGAGGTCGGGAGTTCAAGACCAGCCTGACCAACATGGAGAAATCCCATCTCTACTAAAAAGCTA